TCTCCATGCAGCCTTCTCTTCTCCAGGCTGAACAGCCCCAACTTTCGCAGCCTATCTTCATACAGGAGGTGCTCCAGTTCCCTGATCATTCTCGTGGCCCTCCTCTGGACTTGTTCCAACAGTTCCATGTCCTTTTTATGTTGAGGACACCAGAACTGTACACAATACTCCAGGTGAGGTCTCACAAGAGCAGAATAGAGGGGCAGGATCACCTCCTTCGACCTGCTGGTCACACTCCTTTTGATGCAGCCCAGGATATGGTTGGCTTTCTGGGCTGCAAATGCACACTGAAGCCGGCTCATGTTCATTTTCTCATTGACCAGCACCCCCAAGTCCTTCTCTGCAGGGCTGCTCTGAATCTCTTCTTTGCCCAACCTGTAGCTGTGCCTGGGATTGCTCCGACCCAGGTGTAGGACCTTGCACTTGGCATGGTTAAACTTCATGAAGTTGGCATCAGCCCACCTCAGAAATGTGTCAAGGTCCCTCTGGATGGCATTCCTTCCCTCCAGCGTATCAACCAAACCACACAGCTTGGTGTCATCGGCAAACTTGCTGAGGGCGCACTCAATCCCACTGTCCATGTCAGCGATAAAGATGTTAAACAAGACCGGTCCCAACACCGATCCCCGAGGGACGCCACTCGCTACTGGTCTCCAGCCAGACATTGAGCCATTGACCACAACTCTTTGCGTGCGGCCATCCAGCCAGTTCTTTATCCACCAAGTGGTCCATCCATCAAATTGATGTCGCTCCAAATTAGAGACAAGGATGTCATCTGGGACAGTGTCAAATGCTTTACACAAGTCCAGGTAGATGACATCAACTGCTCTACCCCTGTCCATCAGTTCTGTAGCCCCATCATAGAAGGCCACCAAATTGGTCAGGCAGGATTTCCCCTTAGTGAAGCCATGCTGGCTGTCACCAAGCACCTTGTTGATTTTCATGTGCCTTAGCATGCCTTCCAGGAGAATCTGCTCCAAGATTTTGCCAGGCACAGAGGTGAGACTGACTGCTCTGTAATTCCCTGGGTCATCTATCTTCCCCTTCTTGAAAATGGGAGTTATATTTCCTTTTTTCCAGTTGTCGGGAACTTCACCTGACTGCCATGATTTTTCACGTATGATTATACTAATTACATATAACTTATTTTGAAGGGGGAACGGGTTAAAATTGTTGTGAGAAAATAATTTCTTGGAGCTGACCAGAGAGGAACAGTAACAACGTTCTGTAAATAAAAAAACTACCCTAAGCCACAGTGTATCCTCTGTTTACAGTAATTGTGTTGTGAGGCCAAGAGTGCGGAAACCAACAGGTTAGGCACAGAAGAGACTTTATGCATTAGGCACAGAAGAGAGGACAGGGAAGCGCCTTTGCATCTCCTCATTCAACAGTGAAAGCACTCACTCACCACATGGGGAAATGCAGAGTCCAAAAACATCTCTTCCAGATTCAGACACCTTGTATCACCAGGAAGGTATATGCTACAAAAAGATAGCCAAAAGCCCATTCCCACAGTTTGCATGTGCTCCCCATGGGCACTTTCGTCTGTCAGCCAGGGACCCAGCTTCCTTGGCAGGGTGCACACAAAGGCCAGTTCTAGTCCCACATGCATCAATCACCAAACTCTTGTCAATTTCATTTTCCATTTTTTAAAAGCAACAACAAAAGATCCTCCCAAACCCTTTCTAAATCCCAGTTTTCCCACCTATTTTCACTTATTCAGAGGAGCACACTAGTGACCACTCTTCGTAAACTCATAGGATGAAATCATGATTGAAGAATTAGAGTTTCTAACTTCCCCCTTTTCTCCATAGAGCCTGAGTCCTCATTGTTTAAAATTAGAGGAGAGATTAGTACCAACTCTGTTTAGCCTCTTATCTCTGCTCAGCAAAGTTAGTTAAATAATATTGCAGGAAATTAGTTCAAGTGAAAATAACCACCCTTTTCTTGCAGCATTAGATGCCGAGAAAAGATTCTGGTTTGCCTGTTCTGGCATCTTATGCTTACTCAGGACAGGCATGGCACAGACAGTAAAAGGCAAAAAATTATAAATTGAGCCATACTACAGAAGGACCAGCTTAGGGTTAAAAGTTATTTTCATGCCTAATAAATTCCTACAGCTCTGTAAAACTGCCGAAGCAGGTGTCATTTACGATAGTGGCAATTTTTATGGTGGTGCTGGTATACTAGCATCACAGTGAAGGCAATCACAGATTCATCTTTCAGAGACAGAAGCAGTATTTCACAAGGATATTAATTACAATATGAAGAAAATAAGTAATCTAAAAAGAATGGCAATATTCATGACACAAATAGGTCTGTACCACAGGGAAGATCCCTGGGTGTTTCAGGATGTATGACTAAGTGGGAAGATACAAGAAACGGCAGCTATAGGAGCACAATGTGACTGCTCAGTACCATTGTTTTTGAAATTAATGTTTATCAGTTTTCCATGAATCACCAACCGCACTTTAAATACCAGTGCCTGTATTCTTCAAGAGACTATGAATACACCCAGTTTATTTGGCTGTCTGGAGAAAAGCTGTGAAAAGAGTGACATTTGTTCTCAATATATAGCAACAATGAAGAGTTGTCACAGGACTGAAACAACACATTTTTTCTAGATGTGAATGACAATACTTCTGTAAACTGCCACATCCCTTTCTGATGGAAGACAGCCTTAACAATCTGTTTGATAATAACACTCCTGAAAGTTTCTCTGACTAGACTTTTTTCCTTCTAATGACTCCAGCCTGCAGTGCATCATGCTGGTGATATTGGTTTGTACTTTATATCACTTGGTTTCCTCCCAAGCTCAGTATGATCACCAAACCAACATTGTTGGAAGTTTAAACCTGCACACATTTCGGTTAGTGGAACTACAAACCCTTTTGCTGGCATTCACAACTATTAGTTGCCTTGTACATTTAGTTATGCTTACAGGAGGGAAACTTCTTTCTCTGAGTGAGAAAAAAGTCTAGTTGCTTGTGCACTATTACTAAGCAGGACTAAGCAAGTTACTAATCCTTCCCTCTGTCACTTTCTTACAGGGAGAAAGTGTGGGGAGTCAAACTACTCAGCAATATAAACATGCAGAGGAGCTGCAGGATAGCAGACCTCTCTGTCTTGATCTTCAGGATCACTCACTTTCTTCTAGACTTCAAAGACAATGTAAAAATATTAAGCTTTGATCTCAGCAAAGATGCCTTTCAGTTGCTGCACCTGAAATCCACACATCAACCTCAATGCTTTCAAAGTTGTCCAAGAAGTAATTTGGACTAACATATCTTTATCAAACACTTAAACAGAAAACAAATGAGTCCATGCATGAAAGAGCACAGTTAAGGAACCTGTGCATTTCAGTCCTCATGACAGGAAAAATTAAGAGCTCAGAAAAATAGAAGGCTGCATTTCTAGTGTTATGTGAGGTCTACTGATAAATTTGTGTTTCTAAGCACAGTTAAGAGAAATATGATATGAAATATATAAGCTAGTCTTATCTTAAAGACAGGACAAAGTCAGTTCTTTCACCTTCCTTCCCGCTTCGTAAACAGCCCTCTATCCACTAATTTGTCATGCTTCTAACATGTTAGTTTTATCCTTTCAATTCACAGGGGTTTGCACAAGCTCCTTTTACTTCCTACTCACATAACTCCATGCCCTGTGAGATTTCACTCGAATTTCAGCTTCACAGTAGCCAGAGTTGCAATGTCTTCATCATCCTTCCTATACAGTATTATTTCAAAAGAGTACATTTTGGTTCTTTGAAGTGACCCTTAAAATGTTTCCCTACTCAACCTGGCATATCATAGAGCAAATCAATAATACCACTGCACTGCAATTGTTTGATTCAGCTCAGATCTTCAAAAAAGTATGCTTTATCAGCCTGTCCTCGGTGTGCTATACCAAACTTGCTTTGAGGAGACAAGCACTGGAATCTGCGTAGAAATGAATAAGGAATTACAAGAAAATCATGCTGAATTGTACATGTTTTTCTACCATGGATCAATACAGCTTCCAAGAAATGAAAGGTTTTGAAGGTAAAGGAACATACTGTGTGCATATCTCTGAAAAAAGTCAGGTGGTAGCTGTGTAATACATGTACCTGGAGGGCTCAAAGGAAAAAACTTCAAAATAAGTATTTGTACATTTCCTTTTAGAGGAATTATTTGATGGGGCAAAATAAGTTCTTAAATATTCTATTATGTGTTGGGTCCAAAGTTTTTTGGAGAGTGGTGGTGGCATTTGTAATAAGACTGATAACAGTACAATTGCTTTCAGTAGGCAACCTATGTAGGTTAGAGATGGACCTCCTGAGCACAGGCCAAGTGCCAGCACTTGTAGGCAGCTATCACTGTTCCAAGAGATGAAGCACACAGATATGATTCCCTCCTGCTGCGACTGTTGGAAAGTTGTGGGGCTTCTGCATTAGTCAGCACAAGCGGACCTTGTTTTTTTCATTAATTGCATCAGCAGGGTATATAATAAACAGTTGCCTCAGAGGAAAGAGGAGTGAGAAGGGATAATATGAAAGGAGAGTCCAGTGTAATGAATTAAATGTAATGAAAAAAGTGGTTCTGGTTTAGCCTGTTCATTCTCGTGCTGGCATTTTTGAACAGAAGGAAGTATTAGAAATAACCTTAGTATGCATCCAGCCACTAAAGGACTGGTGAACTTTAGTATTTCCAAGGCACACATTTGCCATGTATGAATAATAAATGCATACTCCTGTCCCAGAGCATTGCAGTCACAAACACAGCCTTTTTCAAGAAGTTCACCAGCCTAAGACAGGGACACAGATTCTGCTTGAGTAGGGGTATGCAGTCACAGTCACTAAAGAGAAACACCCAAATACAGACCCCAGGGAAAGGGAAGAACCTTCTTTCAGTGACCTGATTTATCAGGAATATATTTTTCACAATTCAGACAAGAGAACATTTAGTGTCTGAAAACACGGCTGAAACAGCTTAGAGATTAAAGGAACTGAAATGCCCTCTTACCTTTGTTGTTTATTTTCTTCCCCTTTCTTCAGCTGTTCTAATACAAGAGGAAATAGCAGGTTCTGCTGTGTATACACACATGCTTTTATAAACAATGGTAAAATCCAGTCCCCTCACCCTCCCTGCAAGGAAATTTTCCTTTTTAAAAATGAAAACTTCTAAAAGAAATCTTAATGGGAAACAAAACCAACAGAGACTACTTACATCTGAAAGACCAAATGCTATTGTTAAGCATTTTGTTGATGGAATTACCGTTAGGGCTTAAAAAAGAGGTCTCCAAATTAATTTAAGGGTATTAGACATCCAAATTATAATCAAATTCAAGTGTGCTTGAGCTTTCTAAAAAAGACATCATAAGTATGCAATTCAAGGCCTAAAGAACAAGCTGCATGCCCATAAAGAGGACTGATTTCGGAAACCAAATTGTAAAACTGTTTTCCACCTTACATTTTATTTCCAAAGCATTGGAGAGGTACAACATTTCTCCCAGGGAAGGTCTTGCCCAGTGCAAAAGCAGAAAACCATAAGGGCTGGAGTGCAGCACCCTACAGCATCACCAGGGAAGGGACCAGCAGCCTCTGGCTGTGTTTAAATAAGGCCCCAGGCAGGCACATGTGGGGTCACAGTGGGGCTGCTCAAAGTTGTTAAGGTGGAGCAGGGGCTGTAGCAGACGCATGCTCTCTGCTTGGAAGATTACACTTCCAGCCTCCAGCTTTCCAGGTTTTGACAGTATTTTCCTTGCTAATGCAGATGAGGGATGCTGATTTCAGTACCATGGCAATAAAAGTCACAAAGAGGTAAACTTTCAAATAGGTTTTAGAAACATGAATCTTACTGCTTGTCAGTGAAAGTTGTACCCTTAAGTATATCCCTTAGATACATCCATAAATCTCATCCAGAGTGGAATAGATTCTAGAGAGGGGGAGGAGAGGACAAGCACTATTCTTTTTTCCCAATGAAATCCCTCCGTCCTATCCCATGACAAGCTGCAGTTAAATGACTTGAACCAAGACGAGTGGACAGCAATAGGCCACATGTTAGTATGGTCATAGGAGCCAGAAAGCATTACAATGAAAGGGCAGAAAAATCAGGAGGGAGTAATTAAAGTAGGGAGGAGGAAACCTTCCCCCATGGGAAATGATTATCTGTGTGCTACAAAACAGCCTTGTGCTGCACTTGTCTTTGGCTTTCGTCCTGCAGTCAGGCCACTCTAGCCAGCAGCTTTGTCAGGTGCACACTCAGCACAGTGTGGAACATGTGGGACCAGTGTAGTCTTTTGGGCTGCCTTGTGCAATGCATGGCATTTCCTGGCCATAATGTCCTTTTATACAGCTAAAATAATCTGTGCATTCTCTTTTTAAAACCATCCCTCTGTCACTGTGTTGTTAAAATAACATCAATGTCCCTCCAGTCTATGGGTTAGTGGTTAAAATCTGCTGTCAATTACCAAGCAAAATGTGAATGAAATGAAGAACAAATTTTCTAACTTCATCAGTGTTGATTTTCTCTTCTTCCCCCAGATAATAATACCTTAAAATAGAATGCCTTATTAACCACAGACCAGAAGGTTAATAAGTACATCAACAAAACAAATGTAGTAAATTAAAACAATGCATTAACATTCATTAGTATTTCACTGTTGATTCCCAAACATGCTGCTATTGCTATTCTGTTATTATCAGGCAATAATTGTTATGTCAAAAGATAGGACCCATATGGTTCAACGAGTTCCTCTGGGAGCTTCTTCTGTATGAAAGTCAATCAAAAATATGATTCTATAAGGAAACACACGGACACAGGAGAGCTGCTGTCAGTATATGCAACCCATGTGAAGGACTCAAGTGACTGTTTCAAATAAAAGTTTTCAAATCTAGGGAAAAAAAGTGCGAGTTAGGAAAGCAGCAGTAAAATCAGCAGGTTTGTTCACAGCATGTAAAGCTCCAATGTTCACAGTATGTAAAGTCTCTGCCAGACTGGCTCCTGTTATCCTAGCAATAGAAAATACACTCTAAACACTTCAGGAAAATTCAGACTTTGCGTGTATTTTCCTACCTACTGAGAATGCTGATCCAGGTGAGCCAAAACAGAATGCTTCAAACAGCATTTACCCTCTGAAATACCCACAATCTTTAGGTGAAACCTGAAATGGCTAATGTACCACATTGAATGTCCTGCTGAACTTGCCTGCCATCCAACATCAAATCCTGTCTCACAACTCTGGTAAACATTTAATCTACATAACTCACTTCTAAGATGTTGTAACACAGGAGATGCACAAATCTCTCAGCTGCCTCTTCTCCTTCAGCTGCCCTCATCCGCACTTATCTCCTGACCATCCTGCTGGAAGGAGTCAGGACAAGCTGGGGTGACTATGCCATGGCCTTGGGTTTTGTTGCCGTCTGATGTCTGCCTGAAACCCTTCTTTCACCATAGCTTTGCCTCCTCTTCTCTTCTCCTACAGCTTTTCCTTCCACCCAGGAGCAGAGTGGAGCTGGGCTGTGGCTGGCTTGCTCTGAGTTTCCGTGCCTCTGGCCCAGCCACAGCCTGCACATCTTCCAGCAGCTGCCATGTGCCTTTGCCTCTGGCTGACTCCCGCTTCCACAGAGGGTTTATTCCTAGCGCTGTTGTTGATTTGTAGGGTTTGGTAGCCCATACAAATGCAGAAACCATAATTGCAGGGTTTTGAAGCAACACTTGGATTACATCACCACCTTTGTATTTTTACATATCCTTTGCAAGTTCATTATAAATTACTCTGTGCTCCTTACTTCACTGTTTCACTGGCACAAGCTGTTTTGCCTAGCTCTATCTCACTGTTCTATCTGGCGGTTTGTATTTACCAGGCACACACGGGTTGTGAAGAGTTGCGTAAGTTGGTTTCTATGGTAGGTTTTTAGTCGCCATCTGCTTGAGTGAAAAAATATCTCTTTTCAGTTAACACACTGGGTCTGGTGTTTGCATCTTTTGTTTCCTTCCAGATGCAATCTCAGAAACAGAGGAGGGGCTGTGAGGCTTTTGGGAGAGGAAAGGCCCTTTTACCCAGCTAAGAAAAGTATTGTCCCTGCCTGAACACTGCAGGAAACAAAGTCCTGAAAACACTTTTTCCCTGTACCCAGCTACTTTCCATGGCACTGCTTTATCATAAGGGAGATAAAACCCTAAGCCTCTTTCTATATGTATATTCACCCTGTTTCTGGGCTTGTTTCCTAAGGAAACCAGGGTCTGTGCTCTTGTTCCCCTTCTTCCCGAGCTGCTGTTAAGCCTCTGGATTATTTCTGCCCCATTTTGAAGAGAGGGCAGAAAACTAAGTTCCCACACGTTTCACAGGAAAGGGGAGAGGCTTATTAATGACCCCAAAGAGAGATGTGGAGGAGTAAGAGCCCACCCCTTGCTAGACACTCAGGAAGCCACTGCAGAGAGGGATGTTCTGAAAGCCCCATTCATGGAAAATTGCATCCAAACAAGTCCATAGGAAACTGCTCACGGGACTGTCTGTTTCCAGCAAGTCTCTCCAGCTAATAGTATCAAGCAGCAGAAGCAGGGACTGGGCAAGCAGAGCCTCTCTAGAAGGGCCTGGAAGGGCAGCAGCAATAGCGGCACAAGTGATGCGTGATGAGATGTGTATTTTTGGATGACAGAAGACCACAGTCCTCAGGAGGAAAGGCTTCTGTTTTCCACAGCTACATGAGGCAGTGGAAAGGGCAGGCTGTAAGATCACTGCTGAACAGCCAGAGGAACTGTGATCAAACACACAGCATATACATCCCAAAGCAGTCCCAGACCTGCTATTCATCCAACACCCACCACTGTGGGTTTTGCCACACAAGGGGGATCAGCAAAAGCAAGGGCGGCCAATTCACTTGGGTGAGCATTCCTGAGAGCAGCCTCCCAATCGCCAAGCTGCGCGAATTAGGGTGTGCAAATGCGCTGCGGGTGGCACACTGCCTTAGCCCCTCTGCACCGGCAACACAGGGTGTTCCCTGTACACCACCTCTTCCTCCCATTCAGCATGGGGACGGCACTGCCATGCCCTGGTGCCTGGCAGCCTGCCACTGTCACAAGGGATCTGGCAGCTTCGCCAGCCCAGCTCCTGGGCAACAAGCATACATTTCTTTGGAAGGAGAAAGCTAAACTGCCCCCAGCCATGTTTTCCAGGGGAGAAAGGGGCAAAGTGAGGTGCCCAGGCCAGCATCAGCATGATGCCCATGATGGCCCAGGCACTGGCCCAATGAAGATGTCACCTGGAAGGTGAGCCTAATGCGCTGCACGAAGTGCGCAAAATGCTTCTGAGACACAAGTTATCCCCTACACAAAACAGCCTGGGTGCTCCTATGCCATGTGGCCATTCACAGGATGCAAGGCTGTTCCTGAGCATGTTCCACTGGCAGCTGTTATTCACTGCCAAAATTATGTAAGGGCATTTTGATCAAAAAGTATTTTCTTCTCATATGCTTTTCCCTCCGCCATGGCTCACTGCTATCTCATTTTTGCCTGGGAGAAATATTCTATAGCATAGCACAGGTACAAGCCTGAACTTTTTATTTTTAAGCTATAATAACCTAAATTTTTTGAGGAGAAAACCATCAAGGTGGCATCTGCTCTCACTGTGTATGATTTTAAAGCAGAGAAAGCATATACCTTCTGTAGGAGAAGAAGCTGTTTCCAGGCTCTCCTCTCCCTGGAGTGTGACTTTTCACAAAGACCCTATGCAAAGATATGGTAGGCAGTGGGCAGCCAGCGCAAGCTAAGGGATCAGGTATCCTCACCTTGGAGCAATAGGCTCTGAACCAGCCCAGTCATTGTGGTGCTTTACTATGGAAAAAGGTGCACCACACCCTAGAAGGTTTGGGCATTCACAGAATCAGTTTTGCAGCCTAGAGTTTAAAAAACAAATAAGCAAACAAAATTTAAACAAAAAAGTAATTGCAGATTTTTCCCCCTAAAAAGTGAAAGAAATACAGGAATAGGGAAAAATATAAATTTTTGTTTCAACAAGCAACATCCTCAAGTTCTAAGCAGCTGGAGGGAAAGAAAAAAAAAAAGAAGCCCAGGATAAGCAAACCAAAATTTGCTTTGAGGGTTATAGCTTGTTTACAAGGTTCAGCCAGAGAACAAAGCACAAAGCAAGCATCTGGCCACAGTCCCTTCGTGCACTTTAGCAGCCTGCAAATGAGATATAAACCAAAAATAATCAAACAAAACAGCTTCCAGAAGGAATGTTTTCTAGTGAAACCTCCTGACTGCTCAGCAGCAGCACCCACTCTATGCTTTAATAAAAGTTACCTTTTTGAAAGGCTGGAGAGCTTTCAGCATGATATGTACCTGCTTGTCTGTAGCCATGCAGACCACCTCATACCCATAATCGCAGCCAAACTCTTCCTGCGAACATGAAGCAAAATGAGGTATATAAATGAGTTCCTCCATTATGGCCTTGAGAGCTCATCACATACACCTTCTGCATTTAAATACATTGGGGGAATTCTTCCTGTCATTGGGGATCTTTCATGTTTGATGGAAATTGTCTCACAGGCTGTCAGTCACTGAAGCTATAA